ATGTGAGTCTGGAAGGAGAGAGATTACTAGTTGGAAACTCGTCTATCATCCCTGTGAGTTCCCCACTTGCACCTCTCTGACGTCATTTGTCAACAAAAACACACTGAAGCATGGCAGCATCTTCAGCAGTTGTTTATGGTAAGAACAAGATACAAATTGTTGATACTAAATTCAATCTATTCATCTTCCTTTTGATTTAGAATGCATCTCTGGGTGTACTTTTTATGGGCAAAAAATAGTAAACCAATCACAAGCCTTCTGATGACCTCCATGTTTGATTGTATTTCCTAGTTCGAAATGTGAATTCACCCGACTCGTATTTACTGCTACACAATTGGTAATTACCACCTTCCCACTTAGCCATGAACGCAGCATTAGCTAACGCTGGGGGAAAAGGATGACACCAATCAGGCCTCCCTATGACTGGAATTGCCCATCCCTGCTGTACGCAAAACTACCTGGAACTAAGTTACTGAACATTTCTAAACTGGCACTTGAGGGCTTTGTTGGGAGTTACTGTGTGTGATCCGTCTGTGGAATGTTCCAGAAGTGTATTTACCGGTTTTATTTTAAACCAATATTTTATAAAATCAAATTTTCCTCATTGCGTTTACAATGAGTTTACATTTTCCAGGCTCTGTCGTAGCCGGCCGCGACCGGGAGACCCATGGGGCGGCGCGCAATTGGCCCAGCGTCGTCCAGGGTAGGGGAGGGAATGGCCGGCAGGGATGTAGCTCAGTTGATAGAGCATGGCGTTTGCAACGCCAGGGTTGTGGGTTCGATTCCCACAGGGGGTATGAAAAAATTATAATGTATGCACTAACTAACTGTAAGTCGCTCTGGATAAGAGCGTCTGCTAAATGACGTAAATGTAAATTTTATAAACATAATTATAGATGCAATACTTTTAAAATTTCCCCCTCTTTTTGAGCAAAGTGCACTTGTGCTACGCTGTGAATACGTCAAGCGCACGTTCAGCAATATGTCTCAAACAAGGACCAACAATGCCTTGGACAAGACCAAACCATACAACCATGTTATCACATAAAACTCATATCAAATTCTTAAATCCTACCAATCATTAACTAGGACTCATGCCTCATTAACTTTCTATTCTTTAGCCTTGCAGTCTAAAAAAAAATAGGAGGAAGTTGTCACAAAAAGATCTCTGGTCACTTATTAAACTATATTATAATATGCAAAGTCATCTTTAAATCAAATAATACTAAAATAAAAGTAACATAAGAAATAGTTTATGAATGTGAAGTACAAGATTCCTTATGATTTTGATGATTACTCACAATGCTCTTATTTAGAGTAACAGTTACATATCTTATTCATAACCAGTCAAAACGTAATTATTACTTCTATTACAATGAATAGTTCCTCATTATAATGAATAGTTCCTCCTCCAAGCCAAGTTATCAAACTTACCTTTGTATCCAAAATGCCAGGAGAAGGTGAAGAATTGTATTACACTGCCTCCATATACAATCTAGGTGTAGAGATCAGTGAGTGACTCATGCCAAGCTACTCTCGGAGACATCACGTTAGGTAGAAAGGTGTGGCTGCGATTTGAAAAGCAACCTATGAAAATTATATTTTACATAGTGACATCCTGTGACCGTGTACACCCGATATGATCGCTTTCTGTATAAACCTATTAGGGAAAACAATACTTCACAATAGGATTTATGGGATGAGTTATGGGATAGTATATTCTTGTTTTTCCTGTTTGAATGTTTCAGTTGGATTGTGAACCTGGCACACCATAAACTCCATGGTCATTCCCCTAAGGTTAAAACCAGTTTGATGAGATCTTAATCTGACAGTAGAAGAAAAGGTATTTATTATTGTATTCCCAAGTGACCTTACCTCTTTCAATTTGTCTGACTTTGTGGTTATGCCCACAAAGAGAACCTGATTTTAGAAGATCAAAAATATAAAACAATAAATAAGAATTAAGTATTTTAAATAACTTTAGATTTTTTTAAACTAAATTGTGATATTATGTGTAACAAAAGAGCATTCCCACTGAGAACGCACTGGTTGAGTCAACATTGTTTCCACGTCATTTCAATGATGTTGGTTCAACGTGGAATAGATGTTGAATTGACATATGTGCCCAGTAGGTTAGTCTCTTCCTCTCTAAACTGGTTCCACCAAGTATCTTATAAAACCAACAGTGAAACTGAACATAACAACACCACCACCACCTATACTGTAATTTACTATATTTGATAGACAAATGATATTCATTATTGGGTTATCACCCTAAAGAAATTAATAATTTTCTCTACCTTAAAACAAGCTTGAGTGTTGAAGGTATGCGTGTTGGATAGTTGTTCGATAAGCAGTATGTCACCAAATGTTTCCCCCACTGTCTGGTGACATTCTGCTTCTGGTTTAGTCTAGTAGGAACCACATACGTTTGTGGTCTAGACTAGTCTAGCATTGTTGGTACAGGAACTACGTAGATATGGTCAAGTGAACCGTGCCTCATCACTGAAAGCAAAACTACTGTGGATTCTATTGCATTTCAAATTAATTAACTTAAACTTTACTTTTCAACTAAAGCTTTTCAAAATAAAACATCATACAATTTCAAAGAAGAACCATTTAATCAATCTACCAACTAATACAACAAAGGCCCTCAAACTGTTTATTAATTCAGCATTCATGTGGCCCACGTGTCAAACTCATTCCACAGAGGGCCGAGTGTCTGCGGGTTTATGTTACTCCCTTAGTGGCGGCTCCTGAAAAAATTCTCAGGGGGGGCAATTTTTCTGATGATTTAGGTGACCTACACACATTTAAAAAAAGATATGTCCAGCAACAACATGAAGACAGGGGCAGCATATAAGTCAATACCAGAAGCATTTATTGACTGATCTCAAAAGTGTTGGCTTACAAAAGCAAAAAAAATAATCAAGGGTGTTCTTTCCCATTCCTCAACACTGCATAAACAATATGCATTTCCATAAATCTATCTATGTACCTCAGCACAAGCACCAGCTGTGTCTGTGTAGAAACGTCCGTGGTCTCGTCAGCTTGGATAGCTACGAAGTTCGCCGACTTCACCTCCTCCACAATATGTTCCCTCATGACCGCTAGCATACACTCCAGTAGCTCGTTTTGAATGGTCTTTGATGTGCCCTTGAAAACTTTAGCATTTTTAAGATGGTCATCAAACACCTCATCTAATTGTGCCACAAAGTTGACAAGTCCAAGAAAAATACCAGGGTTGGTGGAGCCCTCAGTTTCATCTTTGCCTCGCAAAGCTAACTCAAACACTCCGCAAAACTTCACACACTGGATTAGCCGGCTGAGGATGTGGCGGTTCTTGCTAACCTCATCGTTGTGGCGGCGGACAGCTAGCCTGTATCCCTCATCCAGTTGAGTGGCAATGTTCACTCTCCCCAAAGCAGACAATCTCAAACAGCTATCCATGTGGGTCTTTGACAGCTCATGTTTCTTAATCTTTTCTGAAAGATGGTGCATGTCGGTTACACCAGTCGCTGTCCAAGCGGTGCTGTCTGCCGTGCCGCCTTCAGGGTGAAAGAGTAAGAAGGGGTAGCAGAAAACTGCATTAGCTACATCGCAGCCTGCTAGCCAGATTTTTCGTTCGTACCAATTTTTGGAAAATCCTCGGGTGTAGGACTTTCCCCCTTTAGTAGAAACCTGTTGAATTATTAAATTTGGTCTGGGAGGTCCTAATTGTTTCGTTGCCAATTTATCTTGATTTGTTCGCCGACAAAAAGGAACTTCTTTCAAAGAGACAATCGAGTTGCACTGAACGCTAGCCATCTTGACAGTAGTACGTGAATTGATTGACGCTGCTACCCGCTCTTTTCTTAGTTACGTTCATGGTTATGTTACGTATGACGAAAGCGCTTAAGTGCAAGCCCTCCCGGAACCCATAGAGATTGTATTGAAAGCTCTGATAAAAGATTTTACATGAGAGTCTATGAGAGACTTCTGGGGCGATTTTCAACCTGACTGAAATCGCCCCAAAAGGGGCGGGGCCATTTGAAGCACGACTTTAGCCTGATTGGACATTTAGTGGCAGATCAGACGTCTAGATTAGAACACTGATAACTACTGTTGCCGTGATATAATTGATTAGAAAAAAAATCCCTTCCTTCTCCCGTTTGGCAGTGTGTCGCCCATATCGCCCTAATGAACACACCGCCCCTGTCCCTTATACTTGATTAATGAATGAGTAAGGAATTCCTCTCACCTGGTTGTCTAGGTCTTAATTGAAAGGATAAACCCGCAGACACTCAACCCTCCGTAGAATGAGTTTGACACCCCTGATGTGGACTTTCTGGTTGTCCTATATGGATGACGTATACACTACAACCCTCAAATGCAACTCTGGACCTCGAAGCCAGTTCCACTGCATTCTTTTATTGTTCCCTTCTAATAAGGGACTGATTTAGACCTGGGACACCAGGTGGGTGCAATTACTTATCAGGTAGAACAGAAAACCAGCAGGCTCTTGACCTCGTAGGGTAAACGTTGAATACCCCTGCACAATACATAACAGTACTTTTGTACATTTCTAGATTGGCCCTTGAGGGCATTGTTGGGAGTTACTGTGTGTGATCAATCTGGAATGTTCCAGAAATACATCAGTTTCTGGTTTTACATTTTTAAAATACTTTTATCATAACATTGTCCTGTGTTTACATTTTAAAATCAATTAAACATTTTGAAGAAAGTCCACTTGTGTTATCCTGTGAATACGGCAAGCATACATTCAGCAGTCTCATTCAAGGTACAACAAGGCCTTAGACAATACCAAACCATGACTTGCACATGGAAATCATATCAAGCATTACCTAGGACTCTCTCCCCTCCCCTATTGCGCCACCTACTGTACAGGGTGGTAAAAAAAAACATATTTAGTCAAGTACACTTTAGTTTAAAAAGACAGAGCAGCATCAAATAGAACATGATTAGAGTTTCTACTTATAGTCATTTGGAAGAATGAAAGCATGGGTGAGTAGCAGGCCAATTATCTAACTCACCACACCTGGCTGCAACCTGAGCAATCAACTTGGTAGCAAACAATTAAGGTCAGGCACACCTAAAATGGTGGATAACTATGCATGGCAATATATACTTTTAAGCATTTTAGATTATAATATTAAAATATAATGGGCCAGGCTAAGGCTGCATCGTCACATCCCCAAGCCAAGTTACCAAACTTACCTTGGTATCCACAATGACAGGAGAAGTTGAAAATTGTATCACACTGTCTACATATACCATCCAGGTGTAGAGATCAGTGAGTGACTGAGTGAAATGCCTTATCAAAACCCCTAATGCTTAACTTTCAGAGAGGGGGCCGGGTCAGGTGAAAAGGCACCTGACCCGGGCCCCTGGCTGTCTCATCACCTGGGGTGTGTTCAGTTCGCCTCAACGGTTGCGTGATGGTTTGTACTGAATGACATGTTTCCCCCAAAATGGTGCGCACCGTTCTTTAGCAACTTTTGAAGTACATTTCCTACGGTTTGGTGGTTGTGGCGAGGTCTGGCCTGATCAATACAGGTGTGAAATGGAAGTGAATAAGGGTGAACTATCGGAGGTGGCACGTTCTCAGAGCTTGCACAGGATAAAGATGAGTCTGTGACGGTAGGAGTGACATTTTTTGAGAAAGTGAACCCCTGCCTTTTGGCTGATCCAGATCTGGTTTCAGGGTGGGTGAAATCAAAGTTGGGTGCAGTGGAATCGGTGAAGGTAACCCGACGTGGTCTTGTGGAAATTGTTTGTATTTCTGCCGGTCAGAGGGAGCTGGCGCTCCACACCACATGATAAGGGACAAGAGATTTAACTTGTTTTGCTCTCAGGAAAAGGGCACCATTGAAAGGAGTGATTACTGGGGTAGCTGTAAATGTGAAAGTTGACCAACTGAAGGGGAAGATTCCCGGTGTTTGTGATGCTCGTCGTTTGGTGCGACTCAAACAGGGTGGCATGAATGGAGAAACAGTAATTGTCTGTTGTTTTGATGTTAAGTATTTGCCCGACAAAGTGATGTTAGGATATTTAAGTTTTCCCGTACGAGCCTTTGTGCCGAATCCATTACGTTGTTACGTGTGAAGCTTATGGGCATTTGGCACCAGTGTATAGGAGGAAGGTTCCTAGGTGTGAGAAGTATGCAGAAGGGCATGAAACAAAGGAATGTGTAATATTGGGGAAAGAAGTGGTATGTGTTAATTGTATGGGTGCCCATGGGGCTGGGGATCAGAAGTCTCTGGTGAGAGTCAGGTTGAGGTTACCAGGGTTAGAGTAGTGATGAGGCAGAGAAGAAAGTAGAGGAAGATGGGTTAAGGGGGAGGGATCCTGAGAGGAGTCATGTGAGTAGTAGATCTGTGCCAGCACAGAGGGATAGGCCATTGAGTGATATATGCTTCAGTAAGACTGGCCTTTTATGGCTCATATCAATGGTTATCAACTGTACCGCAGAGATGGAATGTAAGTCGCAGAAAAGAGGGGGTGGTGGTGGCAGCAGCAGAGAAGTATGTGGGTGTATGAGATTTGACGTCAGAAGAGTTACAGGGTGTGTTGAGTGGTGGTGTCCGTCTTCCTAGGCCATTGGCCTGAGGTAGGATCAGATAGGTTTGAATAGGGTGGTGGGGGTTTTTAATGTGTAGGGTTAGATGGCAGAGTATTTCTATTTGTAATTTTTTTCATTTTCCCACTTAAAGTATAAGGGATTTATACCCTAGTTGGTGGCGGTAAGGCAACATTTATTGAATGCCAACCGCCGATAAACCTCATCCGGAAGAAGAAGCTACGTCACATCCTATTTCACGATGGCGGTTGATTTGACTCCGAGGTTTAGACGATTGAACAGTCAAACACGGAGCCTTCGTGAAAATGTTAAACCAGGTGAGAAATTGACATGTACATCCTTAAGGTTATAAACCGTAACATGCTTTCAACTTTTTGTTTTCCTATCCAAAAACCCAGCCAGCGTACAAAGCTGTGTTGGCTTTGCTGGCTAGGCTAGCTAGTTAACCTCGTTAGCTTAACTGCTAGCTAAGCCATTAAACACATGACATTCTAGCTAGCTGTCATGTTTTTATGGCTTATAGCCACAACCCTTATCTTTTACACAACTGTGAGTAAACTGAAGTTAAACGACCATACTAGAGGCTAGTTATTAATATAATTGAAGTGAGTGGTAGCTAACTAACAAGGTGACGTCGTCACACAGCGGGGCGACATCCCACACAAATCATTAACCCAAAAAAAAATCAGAACTGACGAGCCAACAGTGGCTGTATTGGCAGATTTTTTACTCTGTCGTGGTGTTTTTTGTTGTTGCATGCAGTCGCCATACTGTTAATTATATATTAATGTACTACCTTGAATGTGTCATCACATAGGATTCTCGGGGCCCTTCCACGCTACACAGCTGTGGCACAACATTATCCAGGCGCTGCAGACACAGGTGGAGGTGCGACGACGGCGGCGCCACCTGCGTGTCCACCCTGACTGCTTCACGGGCTCAGATGCTGTAGATGCTGTGCTCAACTACCTGATGCAGAACGTCGTCTTCTGCGCCAGCGAGGTGTCCCGCCTCAAGGCCGCCAGGCTCTGCCAGGCGCTCATGGAGGCCAAGGTGTTTGAGGCGGTGGGGACCAAGCTGTTCCGACGGGACAAGGAGGTCACTTTCGAGGACACGGGCTGCAGCCTCTACCGTTTCCAGGACTGCGGCTCGCTGCCCGGCTCAGCCAGGAAGGATGGGGACACAGAGAATATGGCCCCCGAGGACTTCGTGGGCAAGAGGAAAAAAGGCTCCAGGTTTGTCTGAGTCACAAACATGCACACACACACTCTTATTCTTTCTGTGTTTCTCTCTTACGCACACACACACTTGCTTTTACTATACCTCACTACATCATCACTGCCCTTGATGTCGATGATAATCTCTCCCTCTCTCTGCAGACTGAATGAGCTGAGGATCATCTCCAACCCCCTGGCGCTGGGCCCCTCTGACCGGAGGGTGGAGAGGTTGCTGAAGACAATCAACCTACAGCTCTTCCTCCCTAAGGCCATGACCAAAGCCCCCACCGCCACCTTCCTCTCAAAGACGGGTGAGATGGCAAAGCCTGGCTGTCTTCACCTGGCCATGTTGGAAATTACTATATTGAAAAAGGAAAAGTTCATGTACTTGCTCACTAGTCCTGTCCCCTTTTCCCCTCTTTCCTTCCCTCTTTTCCATTCTTTGTATCACTCCATCCCCCCCCCCCCCCTTCTCTCTTCCTATTTTTTCTCACTCCATTTTTTTCTTTCCCACTCTTGCTTCTCATTCTACCCCCCTCTCTCTCCCTTCCCCTCTGTCAGTGGTGGAGGAGGTGTGGAAGCAGCAGACGCTGCTCCAGCTGCTGCAGACGGTGGAGCTGCCCGTGCTGGACTGCATCCTGGCGTCCCCGACCCGGGGGGCTCAACCTCACCCCCAGGCTGGAGCCCTGCAGCCGCTGCAGAGCCATCACCAGGACCTGGTCATCTCCAACACCTGCCTGGACCGCGAGCTGCCCCAGAGCCTCAACCTCCCAGAGTTAGTACCTAACCAGCCGCCATAGAATGACTGACATATTGAGCGTACCCATGAAGGTGCAGTCAAATTGCTGTGGTGTGAGGGCCTTTTGCCGTTCAAGTTATTCTGTTTATATGCTACCTGCCTCTACATGGCATGGATCAGGAGTGGTTGACCCTTCTCCTGGAGAGGATTTTGTTCCAACCTTTCTCTAACACCTGATTCCGTTGTGTAATGCTGTGATGAGCAGCTGATTAGGTGAATCAGCTGTGTTGGTGCTGGAACAAGGCCTGAACCCCTAAACACATTCCAGTTCATGTCATGATGCTCAGCGCTTCAAGCCAAGCTTGAAGACTGTAACAGAACGAAAAAATATGAGGGTTCGGTCAAAACGCTAACAACCTCCCATTGAATTATATTAAAGCTCTTTTGACATTAAAAGAATGCCCTGACGTTTGCTTCCTCTCCCTGTGATACTGTAGGCTGGACGCGTGGCTGGTGGCAGCCGCCGACTGCCTGGAGCTCTTCCCTGACCAGCTGATCGTATTGGCGGGGGAGCACCTCCTCCAGCAGGGCGGTACCACGGGGGCAGAGAGGATGGCCAGCCAGAAGAGACTGCTGTTTGACACCATGGCTAAGCACTACGGAGGCCAGGAGAGGTCCCCGCTGCTCACCGGACGCTACCTGGACATCCACACGGCCATACTGGACCTGCTGGGTGAGACTGGCTGGTTGAGGAAGTATGGTGGGGTGTAGCGTTAGTGTGTTTTCTACATGTAGATCCGTGTGTGCCTACGTGTCTCTTTGACACACACCCACTCACTGTCTCTCCCTATTTTTCCTCTTCGTGTGTGTGTGTTCTCAGACGGTGGGAAGGTGGATGATGCTATCAGGGCCTATCAGCTGTGTCTGCGTCTGCTGGAGCCTGCTGGGAGAGATGAGCTGAGGAGACTCCTGGCCTTCATGGCCACAGCAGCCCATCCGGATGCATGCCGCCTGCACAAACAGGTAATCTCACTCCATACACACACTATTTTAAAACGATTGTTTCTCAAATAATGGGTCAGGGCCCAATGATAAATACTATATACATCAGTGGTGGGCAATCATACCCTGCGACGTGGCTGTGGGTGCAGGCTTTTGCATCAGCCAAAGTGGTAACACTGGTGGTCCACTGTGTGACTGAGCACTCTGTATGTCCCAACAGACAGACAACAGGTCCCTGGTCAGCAGGACATTTCTGAAGGCCATCGTGCAGAATAAAGAGCTATCTCGTACCCAGAGCGAGAGGCTGCTGCTGTTTCTGATGGACAACCACACTCAGCTCTTCAAGGTAAGCACATGAAATCCCTGATCCTCTTCCCTGGCCCTCTTCTGTCTTCACCTGGCCAATACCAAAATAAACAAGTTGTAGGGCCGCATTGTTGAACGGAAATAGTAGCTACAGAGGGAGGAGGCTTTAAAATCAGGATTTGGACACCTTGCCTTTTTAAAGTCGGGCATCTGAAGGCTTAATACTGCACTCTATTCTCAAGGGTGTAATCTGTACTACAGTAGGGAGGAGGTACTACAGTAGTTTCAAGCTCTTTTGTTGTCTTCAATTTGTTTGCTGTATTTCTGACATTGCCTGATGCATTAAGTGCAGCATGTATATGATTTGTTTATGTGAATGAAATAACCTTTTTATCAACCCTTCTCTATCTATAATGGAAATAGACCCCCACATCGCTGATTGAAGCTGTGAGGAGGACACTGCAAATCCTGCAGCAAGGAAGAGATCCGGACAACATTGCGAGTGAGTTCAATCCAACTTGAGTAAATTCGGTCCCACTTGATACATAATTTTAGGACTTGGTGATATACAGTATATGCCTTTCTGTGCTGATGCTATTATCATAACAGTACTACATGAGCTCCCGAGTGGCGCAGCGGTCTAAGGCACTGCATCTCAGTGCTTGAGGCGTCACTACAGACCCCCTGGTTCGATTCCAGGCTGTATCACAACCGGCCGTGATTGGGAGTCCCATAGGGCGGCGCACAATTGGCCCAGCGTCGTCCGAGTTTGGCCGGTGTAGGCCGTCATTGTAAATAAGAATTTGTTCTTAACTGACTTGCCTAGTTAAATAAAGGTTAAATAAAAAAATTATAAGAATGAGTCATCCTCAATAATGGAATAAACCACCATCAGTGTCATGTTCACTAGGCACGAAATGAAAGAAAACCGACTGAAACAGGCAGGGACTACCAATGAGAAGCTAATTTCCGTTTTTCCGTTGCAAAATGTTTTCTGATGTGTTCCCTAATAAATACACCCCCTGTATTGACTCCCTTCTCCTCCTCCGTTGCAGTGTTCACGTTCTGCCAGCAGGTGTCGCTGCAGCAGTACGAGGACCAGCGCGAGGCAGCCACCCTGGAGAGCTTGACGCAGCTGATCAGAGACATCAGCCTGAGCGAGGCCCTGTCTATCAAGGAGAGGAGGCAGGCGGGTCAAGGACTTCCAGAAACACCATCCCATAGTCTTTCTCCAGCACTTCTCCTCCACCTTCTAGGGGGAAAGAAATGTAATGAGTGGTGGGAAACCCAATCCAAAATCAAGCCTTACCTCTGCCATGCATTTGTAGATTTGAAAGGATTGGATCAGTTATAAGCAATTCAAGGTATTAAGTATTCCACTTACCCAATCAGAGGGTAAGGTCATTCCAGGGCCATGTTCAGTTGCAGATTGAGATGTGATTCCTTATTCTACATGTCAGAGGCATGTTTGATCTACATAGTGTATTTATATCTGAACGTTCTAAACTTTCAACCTGCTGAACGTGCCTCTGGTCTACACAAGGGCATACTGCATAGGGGATGGGCCTAGGGGTTGATTTTTTGGAATTGGGCAGTAAGGGATCCTTGTCGCCTTAATAAGTGCTTTGGTTCTTTGTTATGCAAACAGTTGTCACAGTGCTGTGCGCGTTACGTGGGATGAAATATCTATTTTGATTTGATGTAGGCCTAGTTTGTGTCATATTTTAGTGTTGTTACTCTCACGAGGCTTTGCTTTTCAAGAGGTCTTATGCATCCGGCTTCGGAATGCATTTGCACTAGTTCCTAGGCCATAGTAAGTTCTCATCAACACTAGATGCTAGTGGTATGATAGTAGCAATTGTTTTGTTCTAACACGAAGAGATGCACTTACCCAAGTGCCTCAAGAGTTTATTTCTGGGGAATGAGAGCATTCTCTGCTTTCCTTAGCTGATGCCTGTCAGGGAAAACTCTTGATTTCGTTGAAATCTACATCTAATGTTGGTAACACATTTGCACATGTATTTGTTTCCAACTAACAGGCATAGGATCTGGGAATCAATTCAGGGGTTGTTTTGGTATCAAGTAGCTAGTTTTCTCAGGTAGTTTTTTATTTAGGTACTGTGAATAGAAGTTTACTGTAGATTAAGCTTGAAGAGAAATCGCTTTAGACAAATAAGCATTACACTATTTCTTTACCTTAATTGAAATTTAACACACTTGTGTTTTTAAGACCGTCATTTAGCAAATTACTTATTGTTTTGAATTTCGTCAATTGCATCTTAAAACTGGTAAGGGAATAATGCTGGTAGCACTACTTTTATATTTGTACATTTTCTGTAGGGGACAGTTCTGTTGCAATGGTATTTATCTACTGTAGTTATTTGTGGAACTGTTTCCCACACTTATCAATAACCTATTACATATCTGTTAATCACATAGTTGACACTAACTATTCTAATATATTGACTTGTAATAGGTTTTGAGCATATGGGTTTGTAAGTTTAATCATAAATTGGTAAATGGGTGGAATGTTGAAAATGCAGCCAAGCTTCAAGTCTTTACTTTTGTAGTTTATTGGTGGTCTTACAAATGGATGATTTGTCTCTAAGTGCCATATATTTTTAGCTCAACTTGAAGGTTGAGTGAATTAACTTGTTGAAATGAGTGTAAATCATAGAATCCAGGGGTGTATTCATTAGTTGCACACCCTAGCAAAAAGTTGTGCAACAGAGAACTTTTCGCAACGAAAATGAGTTTCTATTGGACAAATTGAAATAGGTCCCTCCCTGTTTAGTTCTGTTTGGTTCTTAGTGAATACACCCCAAGTTACTTGTTGTGAATGTTACATTGTTAATTAAGTTGTTGCATCATTGGTACTATGTTTTAAATTCAAGAGCATTTACTGTTTACTGTGCATGTTGCTGCCTCCTTTGAGGTTTACATATCTTAGTCAACAGAATAGTACACATGACATGATCTGTAACGTTGCCAAGTGAGGTTTTATGGTTAATTCATTGAATTTTTGAAATGCACTTTGTTGAATACAGTACAATAAAGTACTTTTATTGAACATCATTGGAAGTTCCAGTAGTCATTTGAGCAACCATTGGACGTATGGATATGCATGAAATATACAATATTCAAACACTATACAGAACAGAAATGGGCTATACAGAAGGGTATAATCATGAAAGTACTCTTAAATCAACACGCAGCACATGACTTATCTGCTAGAGTAGCCGGAAGTGACGCTACCAGTAAGTGGCAAGCTAGCTTAGCAAAGAAGCCAACAGAAATTTTGACTCTGGAAGAGATGGAGGCTGTGTACCACAGCAATCAATGACAGCTGTGTTGGTATTCAACCGCGACTTGGAATCATAAAACCACTTCCATCTCCTTCGTGACACAGGTAAGCGTGATATAGTTGGTTTCAGACCCAGAAACGCCACACGGCATTTCAACAAACATGTCAAAAGTGTCGTCCCCCTTTAACTAGTCTACTGCTACGCGATAGCTAACTAGCTAGCTAACTGGGTAGCCACATGAATAAAAACAATTTGGAAGTCGGGTGAGGCCCAAACCGGTTAAACAAACAGGACAGGTATTGGTTTAGCCAATACGGTAGCTAGCTAAATTATATGGTGTAGCAAGCTAGCTAACCATGTCACACAACCGTGTTCCTCCTTCCGCAATTGCTCAACTGGCCGTCGGCAGACACTGGTATGGATACCCTATCATAGGAGCCAGCTAACGTTTGCTAGCTGCTTGTGTTAGTTCAGCTACCCTACCAGAGTCACGTGTACTGTCTACTTAGCCTGCTACACAGACGGTGAGGTGCGGAAGGGGAAACCCACTGTGATTGGCTCTTTCACATTTCCAGTAGGAAATGCATCCAACCAATTGTAACAGCTTATTGATTCCACTTTTATAAATAAAAGGACCATATTGAAACGGAGAATGTTACATGTAGACTAACCTATGCAATAGCCAGAGACCGAGAGAGATATACTTTGGTAATATCATATTCCAACTTTACATTGCATTTTGCTGAGGATCTAGCTAGGTCTCGCAGTTTGCAGACATACATTTTGGGCTAATTCATAAATTAATTGAGCGCTATTTCAATATCTGTCATCAATGTGAGAATCTCAAAAGCACAGTGCTGGTTGAATACAATCGGTCAGCTCTTCTTGCCACTTGAATAAGGGCCAGCCATTTGTATTCCCAGTCATTTTTCTTATCTCACTTGCTCGCCTGCTTGTAAGGAGAGATTCTGGAAATTGAAATACTGTGTATTTAAATGACAGGACTGCATACAGGAATAATACTGTATGATTCATTTCTCAGCAGACAGACAGAGACTTTGATACTTTTTAGGCTACATCAATCTTGATTAAGGAGGGGATTGAATGTCTCTGCTCTAACCAAGAAGCTTGATCTTGACATCTAGCCACTTTGCTAGCAAGTTAGCAAACTAAATCCATAGCAGGAGCCCTGAGCTGGACATCATTTATTTGATTTCTTATAGTTTATATTGAACTTAGTTAGTTATAAGCAGTGGCGTAGCACCCCCCCCCCCCCCCACATAAAAAAAAAAATTGTAAGCAGTATTTTAAATGATACTGTCTGTATTTCAAAATACCTTGGTATACGGTATATCGCCCAACCCTAGTCCACATACATTTTGTTTGGCACTGAACTTTCATTTCTTTGTAATGGCAACCGATGTGTGAATCATCAGTTTGTTTGTTCAACAATTTGTCAGGAGGGATTTGGCAGCAATGAGAGAGAGACAGAAAGTCAGACACACAGAGAGAGGAACAGACTGATTAAGTAATGGGTTTTATGGACCGGTTGGTTTCCTCCCTGCTCAAACCCTTTGCTTTGTCCACATCCAGCAGTGTCCACTGACTCAATTATGGCTGTTGGCAACTACATCAGTGCTAGGCCCAGGTGTTGAGGAAAGCAATGACATTATACCCTGCCTGCAGGAGACCGACTTGTACAGATATAGGCTTCAGACAGTGACTCAATGAGGTTTATAATTAAACATGAGATCAATGGCTTCCTCACTAGTCTGTTGTTTGGGGTGCGAACCCACATCTCCAGGCTGCGTCCCAAATGGCATCCTATTCCCTATATAGCGCACTACTTTTGTCCAGGGCCAATAGTGCACTAAATAGGGAATAGGGTGCCATTTGGGACGCAGGCCCACTGCTTGATATGCTAATAGGATATTATGTCTGAATGTGTTCATTCACTCTGATTCTATTGTTGCCGTGCCGGAGTTTGGACAGCGCTTGTCGGGATTTGTCAGACGCGAGTGCAGACAATGCATACTAATAATACAGAAATATTGACTCTGTTTCGGATCTGTCTCTCTCACTTCTAAGTCACTGTGATTTAGGAGATTTGTTTGTTTGTGTGTGCGTCCGTGTGTGTGATTGCACTTGCCCACTGTGTGTACTCTGTAGTACTGTGTAGGTGGATGTGCATATTGTGTGTGTGTGTGTGTGTGTGTGGCACACATCAGACACCACGACAGCTCTGTCTACAGCCATTACAGGACACTTTCATGTGTGATTTTGCTCTATGTGGCAATCTGGCAGGTGCGTCAATATGTGTTGCTAATAGACTAGTTTTTTTCCCATACGAAAGTTGTGTGTGTTTGCAGCCTCTATTTCAGTACACCATATAGCTGAACCCTCTGTGACCTCTTTCTCTCTCTTCCCCCCCAGGGGTCAAAGGTCAGGCTGAGTCACCATGGAGTCCATGCTAAACAAGCTCAAGAGCACTGTCACCAAGGTGACGGCCGACATGACCAGTGCCGTCATGGGCAACCCGGTGACGCGGGAATTTGAGGTGGGCTGCCACATCGCCAGCGGCGGGCCCGGCATGTGCTGGAGGATCTACAACGGAACCAAGAAGTCAACCAAACAGGTGAGGCTGCCTGAGGGCTTCATGGACTGATAAGTATAGGTCTGTTCTATACTTAACTTGCTTAACTAGAGCAGTGTCTACCAACCCAGTCCTGAGGACTTACACATGTTTGTTTTCCACAATTTGTTCAAAGGATGGATGGGACTCATTTTACCATCTCCAACTGACACAAACTGTCAGTGGTTGTCCTGATGCAGGTGGTCATTCCTGTTTTATTCTTTGTTCTTCCAGGAGGTGGCTGTGTTTGTGTTTGAGAAGAAGATGGTGGATAAGTATCAGAAGTTTGACAAGGACCAGATCATTGACTCTCTGAAGAGAGGCGTGCAGCAGCTCACCAGATTGCGCCACCCTCGTCTGCTCACTGTCCAGCACCCGCTGGAGGAGTCGAGGTAGGTTAAGATTACCGTATGCTTCCCAGTCGAAACAGTTGGCGCGTATATTCAGACTACGTTTTTGTTCGTTTTGGTGTTCGGCAACGTTCTGCAGTTTTTTTTTTCCGTCAGTTCGAGCACATTATTTTCTTTCTTGAGGCTTGTCCAAGTTCGGTAGCCGAAGTCTACGCCCTTTCGTCTGTAATTGGTCAACAGTAGGGATTCTTCAATGAAGTGTTTATTGTCATTCGACAGATGACTCGTTTTCATGCAAATTCTTTCACTTGAGAAATACTGCACCAAACATCTTGGTTAGATGTAAAATTGCGCGACTAAGACCGCCTCTGCAAAAACATAACATTTATAATTACAGACCTCTTGACTAATCTTAGATGAATTCAGACTATTTTAAGCACGTGTACTAGTTGCTACGGTGTCTCAAGAGGGACAAACAGTAATATTGCTGCTTTTTTTTCAAGTTTTTCAAGCGAGCACAGACGTTCACTTTGCCTAGCTGAGTTCTGCTAGGAGCCTTTACACACAGTCACACACGCATAACACACACACACACACACACAAACAAACACACACACGCACGCAAGTCATACATACACACTCTGAGGCATATATCTGTACCTGGTGCAAAGACTTTGTGTTTTCCTGGGGCAAAAGTTCAGGATATCACTGGGTTGCTTCCCGAGGCTGTGAGTCAGTCACCGGGGGCTGATACTGTCATGGTTCATATGGGGTCAAATTACATTATGAAGGGCAGCTCAGAACAGCTGAATATGGATTTTAAAGAACTGATTGGGTCTCTACTTGACACCAACAAACGCCCCATAATATCTGGCCCTCTGCCCTCCCTAAATCGTGGCATTGAACGGTTCAGCAGACTTTTAGTCCTCCTTAACTGGCTACGGGACTATTGCAGCTCAGTGGGTGTAACATTTATTGACAATTTTGATACCTTATGGAAACAAAGCTTGTATAATAAGGAGGATGGGATCCACACAAATATTTTGGGTTCCTGGATCCTTTCACAGCATTATAAGGCTGTGTTGAGTCAATGACTCAAGTCCAGGTCATTTAATCCCTACCATTGTGTCGCTGAGTTGTCATAATGAATCAGCAAATGTACATTATCCTAGGGGCGTTGGAAGACACAATGTAAATAACCTAATTTATGTCCATCTTTCTGCCCGGAATGCCTCTGCTCATCCTACAGCATGCAGTAATCATATGCCTATGAACCAGAGTAATACTGTTAGCACTGAGGTGGTGTGCCCTAGTAGGAAGTCCACTGTGTGCAGCTCACCCTGCACTAATAAAAATAACCTGAGTATGTTTACCTCTGCTAAGCTTCCCAGTAAAGCAAGACAAAGCATCCCAGAAAAGTGTTAGAAATAGCCCACGTTAACATATGTAGCTAAAGAAACAAGGTTCATGAAATCAATAATTTGCTAGTAACAGATAACATTCATATTCTATATCTCTGAAACTCACTTAGATAATACCTTTGATACAGTGGTAGCAATACAAGGTTATAACAGTTACAGAAAATACAATGGGGGCGGTGTTGCGGTCTATATTCAGAACCACATTCTTGTAAAGCTTAGAGAGGATCTCATGTTAAATACTGTTGAAGTAAGATGGCTACAGGTTCACCTGCCTCACCTAAAGCCCATTCTGGTGGGAAGCCGCTATAGACCACCAAGTGCTAACAGTCAGTATCTGGATAACATGTGTGAAATGCTTGATAATATATGTGATATCAATAGAGAGGTATACTTTCTGGGTGATTTTAAATATTGACTAGCTTTCATCAGGATGCCCATTCAAGAGAAAGCTTCAAACTGTAACTAGTGCCTTCAACCTGGTTCAGGTTATCAATCATCAGCCTACTAGGGTAGTTACAAACTGTACAGGAATGAAATCTTCAACATGTATTGATCATATCTTTACTAATGCTGCATACATTTGTTTGTAAGCAGTATCCAAATCCATCGGATGTAGTGATCACAATATAGTAGCCATATCTAGGAAAACTAAAGTTCCAAAGGCTGGGCCTAATATTGTATATAAGAGGTCATACAAGAAGTTCTGTAATGATTCCTATGTTGTTGATGTGAAGAATATTTGTTGGTCTGTGGTGTGTAATGATGAGGAACCAGACGCTACTCTTGACACATTTTATGAAATTGCTTATCCCAGTTACTAATAAGCATGCACCCATTAAGAAAATTACTGTAAAAACTGTTAAATCCCAGTGGATTGATGAGGAATTGAAAAATTGTATGGTTGAGAGGGATGAGGCAAAAGAGATGGCAAATAGGTCTGGCTGTACAACTGATTGGCAAACATACTGCAAATTGAGAAATCATGTGACTAAACTGAATAAAAAGAAGAAGAAACTACACTATGAAACAAAGATAAATGACATGAAGAATGATAGTAAAAAGATTTGGAGCACCTTAAATTAAATTTTGGGCAAAAAGGCAAACCCCGCTCAATCATTAATTGAATCAGATGGCACATTCATCAAAAACCCACTGATATTGCCAACTACATTAATGGTTTTTTTCATTGGCAAGATCAGCAAACGTAGGCATGACATGCCAGCAACAAACGCTGACACTACACATCCAAGTATATCTGACCAAATTATGAAAGACAAGCATTGTAATTTTGAATTCTGTAAAGTAAGTGTTGATAAGGTGAAAAAATTATTATTGTCGATCAACAATGACAAGCCACCGGGGTCTGACAACTTGGATGGAACATTACTGAGGATAATAGTGGAGGATATTGCCCCTCCTATTTGCCATATTTTCAATTTAAGCCTACTAGAAAGTGTGTGCCCCAGGCTTGGAGGGAAGCAAAAGTCATTCCGCTACCTAAGAATAGTAAAGCCCCCTTAACTGGCTCAAATAGCCAACCAATCAGCCTGTTACCAACCCTTAATAAACTTTTGGAAAAAATAGTGTTTAACCAGATAAAGTGCTATTTTACGGTAAACAAATTGACAGCAGACTTTCAGCACGCTTATAGGGAAGGACATTCAACAAGCACAGCACTTACACATATGACTGACTGATTGGCTGAGAGAAATTGATGATAAAAAGATTGTGGGGGCTGTTTTCATAGACTTCAGTGACATTATCAATCATAGTCTGTTGCTGGAAAAACGTATGTGTTATGGCTTTACACCCCCTGCTATATTGTGGATAAAGTTACCTGTCTCACAGAACACAGAGGGTGTTCTTTAATGGAAGCCTCTCCAACAAAATCCAGGTAGAATCAGGAATTCCTCAGGGTAGCTGTTTAGGCCCCTTACTTTTTTCAATCTTTACTAACGACATGCCACTGGCTTTGAGTAAAGCCAGTGTGTCTATGTATGCGGATGACTCAACACTATACACGTCAGCTACCACAGCGACTGAAAGGACAGCAACACTTAACAAAGAGCTGCAGTTAGTTTCAGAATGGGTGGCAAGGAATAAGTTAGTCCTAAATATTTCAAAAACTAAAAGCATTGTATTTGGGACAAATCATTTACTAAACCCTAAACCTCAACTGAATATTGTAATGAATAATGTGGAAATTGAGCAAGTTGAAGAGACTAAATTGCTTGGAGTAACCCTGGATTGTAAACTGCCATGGTCAAAACATATTGATACAACAGTAGCTAGGATGGGGAGAAGTCTGTCTATAATAAAGCGCTGCTCTGCATTCTTAACAGCACTATCAACAAGGCAGGTCCTACAGGCTCTAGTTTTGTCGCACCTGGACTACTGTTCTGTCGTGTGGTCCGGTGCCACAAAGAGGGAAAATTGCAATTGGCTCAGACCAGGGCAGCACGGCTGACCCTAGGATGTACCCAGAGAGCTAACATTAATAATATCCATGTCAATCTCTCCTGGCTCAAAGTGGAGGAGAGATTGACTTCATCACTACTTGTATTTGTGAGAGGTATTGACATGTTGAATGAACCGAGCGGTCTGTTTGAACTACTGGCACACAGCTTGGACACCCATGCATACCCCACAAGACATGCCATCAGAGGTCAAGAACAGACTATGGGAGGCGCACAGTACTACATAGAACCATGACTACATGGAACTCTATTCCACATCAGGTAACTGATGCAAGCAGTAGAATCAGATACAAAAAAAAGATACAAATACAACTTATAGAACAGCGGGACTGTGAAGAGACACACAGGCACAGACACATGCATACACACACATGATAACATACACACGTACACATGGCTTTTGTGTTATAGATATGTGGTAGTGGAGTAGGGGCCTGAGGGCACACACTTAATGTGTTGTGAAATCTGTTATGAATGTATTGTAATATTTTTAAAATGTATAACTGCCTTAATTTTGATGGACCCCAGGAAGAGTAGCTGCTGCCTTGGCAGCAGCTAATGGGGATCCATAATAAATACAAATGAATGCACACACACTACCTCTTTCAATTTCAATTCAAAGGGCTTTATTGGCATGGGAAACATGTTTACATTGCCAAAGCAAGTGAAAAAGATAATAAACATTACACCCACAAAAGTGTCATTATGTCTATATACAGTGTTGTAATGATGTGCAAATAGTTAAATTTACATAAATATGGTGTTTGTTCTTCACTGTTTGCCCTTTTCTTGTGGCAACAGGTCACGAATCTTGCTGCTGTGATTGCACATGGGTATTTCACCCAATAGATATGGGAGTTGATCCCAAACATTTTTGGGGGAATTCTTTGTGTGTCTGTGTAATCAGGTGTGGGTCAGGTATTCTGCCACTCTCTGTTTACGGCCAAATAGCATTTTAGATAGCTCTGTTTTTTTTTGTTAATTCTTTCCAATGTGTCAAGTAATTCTCTTTTTGTTTTCTCATGATTTGGTTGGGTCTAATTGTGTTGTTGTTGTCCTGGGGCTCTGTGGGGTCTGTTTGTGTTTGTGAACAGAGCTCCAGGACCAGCTTGCTTAAGGGACTCTTCTCCAGGTTGATATCTCTGTAGGTGATGGCTTTGTAATGGAAGGTTTGGGAATCGCTTCCTTTTACAGTGAGGAAAAAAAGTATTTGATCCCCTGCTGATTTTGTACGTTTTCCCACTGACAAAGACATGATCAGTCTATAATTTTAATGGTAGGTTTGTTTGAACAGTGAGAGACAGAATAACAACAAAAAAATCCAGAAAAACACATGTCAAAAATGTTATAAATTGATTTGCATTTTAATGAGGGAAATAAGTATTTGACCCCTCTGCAAAACATGACTTAGTACTTGTTGTACGTGACTTAGTACTTGATTGTTGGCAATCACAGACGGCAGACGTTTCTTGTAGTTGGCCACCAGGTTTGCACACATCTCAGGAGGGATTTTGTCCCACTCCTCTTTGCAGATCTTCTCCAAGTCATTAAGGTTTTGAGGCTGACGTTTGGCAACTCGAACCTTCAGCTCCCTCCACAGATTTTCTATGGGATTAAGGTCTGGAGACTGGCTAGGCCACTCCAGGACCTTAATGTGCTTCTTGTTGAGCCACTCCTTTGTTGCCTTGGTCGTGTGTTTTGGGTCATTGTCATGCTGGAATACCCATCCACGACCCATTTTCAATTCCCTGGAGGTTCTCACCCAAGATTTGACGGTACATGGCCCGTCCATCGTCCCTTTGATGCGGTGAAGTTGTCCTGTCCCCTTAGCAGAAAAACACCCCCAAAGCATAATGTTTCCACCTCCATGTTTGACGGTGGGGATGGTGTTCATAGGCAGCATTCCTCCTCCTCCAAACACGGCGAGTTGAGTTGATGCCAAAGAGCTCAATTTTGATCTCACCTGACCACAACAGTTTCACCCAGTTCTCCTCTGAATCATTCAGATGTTCATTGGCAAACTTCAGACGGGCCTGTATATGTGCTTTCTTGAGCAGGGGGACCTTCCGGGCGCTGCAGGATTTCAGTCCTTCACGGCGTAGTGTGTTACAAATTGTTTTCTTGGTGACTATGGTCTCAGCTGCCTTGAGATCATTGACAAGATTCTCCTGTGTAGTTCTGGGCCGATTTCTCACCGTTCTCATGATCATTGCAACTCCACGAGGTGAGATCTTGCATGGAGCCCCAGGCCGAGGGAGATTGACAGTTCTTTTGTGTTTCTTCCATTTGCGAATAATCGCACCAACTATTGTCACCTTCTCACCAAGCTGCTTGGCGATGGTCTTGTAGCACATTCCAGCCTTGTGTAGGTCTACAATCTTGTCCCTGACATCCTTGGAGAGCTCTTTGGTCTTGGCCATGGTGGAGATTTTGGAATCTGATTGATTGATTGCTTCTGTGGACAGGTGTCTTTTATACAGGTAACAAGCTGAGATTAGGAGCACTCCCTTTAAGAGTGTGCTCCTAATCTCAGCTCGTTACCTGTATAAAAGACACCTGGGAGCCAGAAATCTTTCTGATTGAGAGGGGGTCAAATACTTATTTCCCTCATTAAAATGCAAATCAATTTATAACATCTTTGACATGTGTTTTTCTGGATTTTTTCGTTGTTATTCTGTCTCTCACTGTTCAAATAAACCTACCATTAAAATTATAGACTGATCATTTCTTTGTCAGTGGGCAAACGTACAAAATCAGCAGGGGATCAAATACTTTTTTCCCTCACTGTAGGTGGTTGTAGGATTTAACGGCTCTTTTCTGGATTTTGATAATTAGTGGGTATCGGCCTAATTCTGCTCTGCATGCAATTTGGTGTTTTACATTGTACACTGAGGATATTTTTGCAGAATTCTGTATGCAGAGTCTCAATTTGGTGTTTGTCCCATTTTGTGAATCATGGTTGGTGAGCAGACCTCACAATCATAAAGGGCAATGGGTTCTATAACTGATTCAAGTATTTTTAGCCAGATCCTAATTGCTCGCTCTCTCTCTACCTTCTTTTATTACTCAATCCTTCCTCTAGTTCACCATCATCCCCGTCTCTCTTTCTTCATCTAACTGTTCCTCTTCTCCTTTTCTCTGTCATTCTGAACACACTCCTTCTTTCTTCATCTTTCTCTGTTTTGTAATAATTGACACACTAATGTGAGCATTGAAGTTGAATTCTCTCTCCCTTCCTCCTTCAGGGACTGCCTGGCGTTCTGTACAGAGCCAGTGTTTGCCAGTCTGTCCAACGTGCTGGGCCAGTGGGACAACCTGCCCAGCCCCGTGCCCACAGACATCAAGGACTACAAGCTGTACGACGTGGAGACCAAGTATGGCCTGTTGCAGGTGAGACCCAATACACACGCAAGTGTGTAGATACACATTCACACACATGTCTTGTTGCTATGTGTATTGCTTGGCAGATGTTTCAAACCCAATTGAACTAACCACACCTCTCTTTCTGTTTATTAAGTTGTGTCCCAGGCATATTTTTTTGGGGATAATTGATTAGATTGTGCTCCCATGCCAAGTCACACAGCTACTTAAAAGGGCAATCTGTGATTGCTACTTCAATTTTTGGACTTTTAAATTAATTATATGTACCCATTGATTCTTGAAGAATATAACTTAATGCCTCATGAGCTTAGTTCAACTGTCGTACACCTTCAGAACCCAAAGCTTGTTTTACTAATTTGTTTGTAAACAATGTTATTGTAAACAAACACTAGCCTCAAAACATGGTTAAAACTATGTTGATTTCATGGATGGTCAGTTCTTGCATCCATAGCTCTGTCTAGGAATTTGGGAGTGGTAAAAAAATCAAGCTCCACCCTTCAGCTTTTTACCAAAAACATTGGTATGAAAAAATGTATGCACTCACTAACTGTAAGTCGCTCTGGATAAGAGCGTCTGCTAAATGACTAAAATGTAAATGTAAAAATGTGGGGTTTCACTGTTTGAACTGCAGATTGCCCCTTTAAGGAGGAATGCTGTGAAATGTCACTGCTGCATAATTGATCTGGGTTGGAGAAAAAAAACTGTCAAGTACAGCTTGAATTTGTGTGTTATGGTGTGAATGTTTTTCTTTGTAAGTGTTATAAAATGCCTGGAACAAGCGAGATGAGATGAAATAATTAGACTGTACTTTATTAATCCCCAAGGGGAAATGAGTTTGTCAGTAGTTAGTATCACAGATTGTCTTTCTGTTTCTCTTGTCACTGTTTTACCTCTCCTGTGTTTTATCTGCTTTATCCTCTGACTACTCTCCTCTCTCTTCTCCCTCCCTCTCTCTCCCCCTCCTTCTTTCCCTCTCTCCCTCAGATCTCGGAGGGCTTGTCGTTCCTCCACAGCGGGGTGAAGATGGTCCATGGGAACTTGTGTCTGGAGAACGTCATCCTCAACAAGAGCGGAGCCTGGAAGATCATGGGCTTTGACTTCAGCATCTCCTCCACCAACCCCTCAGACGCCGAGGTGAGATGGTCAGCACAGTACAGAGAGAGGGAGATTGTGTTGGTGTGTGTGTGTGTGTGTCTGTTGACCTCTGTAGTTGAGTGGGTGTGCATCTCTCTGTGTGTGTGTGTGTGGCCTGTGAGCACCTGTATGTATCTCTTCCTCTGTGTGTGTGTGTGTGTGTGTGTGTACAGTTGAAGGCGGAAGTTTACATACACTTAGGTTGGAGTCATTAAAACTTGTTTTTCAACCACTCCACACATTTCTTGTTAACAAAATATAGTTTTGGTAAGTCGGTTAGGACATCTACTTTGTGCTTGACACAAGTAATTTTTCCAACAATTGTTTACAGACAGATTATTTCACTTATAATTCACTGTATCACAATTCCAGTGGGTCAGAAGTTTACATACACTAAGTTGACCTCAGAACATTTTTTGTAGACCTCCACAAGTCTGGTTCATCCTTGGGAGCAATTTCCAAACACCTGAAGGTACCATGTTCATCTGTACAAACAATAGTACGCAAGTATAAACACCATGGGACCACAGCCATCATACCGCTCAGGAAGGAGACGAAGACAAAGATCGTACTTTTTGGAGAAATGTCCTCTGGTCTGATGAAACAAAAATAGAACTGTTTGGCCATAATGACCATCGTTATGTTTGGAGGAAAAAGGGGGTAGCTTGCAAGCCGAAGAACACCATCCCAACCGTGAAGCACGGGGGTGGCAGGATCATGCTGTGGGGGTGCTTTGCTGCAGGAGGGACTGGTGCACTTCACAAAATAGATGGCATCATGAGGAAGGAAAATTATGTGGATATATTGAAGCAACATCTCAAGACATCAGTCAGGAAGTTAAAGCTTGGTCACAAATGGGTCTTCCAAATGGACAATGACCCCAAGCATACTTCCAAAGTTGTGGCAAAATGGCTTAAGGACAACAAAGTCAAGGTATTGGAGTGGCCATCACAAATCCATGACCTCAATCCTATAGAAAATATGTGGGCAGAACTGAAAAAGCGTGTGCGAGCAAGGAGGCCTACAAACCTGACTCAGTTACACCAGCTCTGTCAGGAGGAATGGGCAAAATTCACCCAACTTATTGTGGAAGCTTGTGGAAGGCTACCCAATACGTTTGACCCAAGTTAAACAATTTAAAGACAATGCTACCAAATACTAATCGAGTGTATGTAAACTTCTGACCCACTGGGAATGTGATGAAATAAATAAAAGCTGAAATAAATCATTCTCTCTACTATTATTCTGACATTTCACATTTTTAAAATAAAGTTGCGATCCTAACTGACCTAAGACAGGGAATTTTTACTAGGATTAAATGTCAGGAATTGTGAAAAACTGAGTTTAAATGTATTTGGCTAAGGTGTATGTAAACTTCATACTTCATCTGTATCTGTCCTTACATACCTGTCTCCACCCCCTTCCCCGTCCCTTCCCTCTCTCCCCCAGCCCAAGTATTCCTGTAAGGAGTGGGAGCCCAACCTGCCTCCGCTCTGCCTGCCCAACCCAGAGTATCTGGCCCCCGAGTACATCCTGTCGGTGAGCTGCGACGCTGCCTCGGACATGTACTCGCTGGGCGTGGTGATGCACGCCGTCTTCAATGAGGGCAAGCCTGTGTTCCAGGTCAACAAGCACGACATCTTCAAGAGCTTCAGCCGACAGCTGGACCAGGTGAGGGGAGGGGGGGAGAGATAAAGGCTTGATGGCCAAAACATGTCGACGTGACTGCTGATCAAAATACAAATAAATCAAAGTTAAAATGAAGTTGAGTGCTGGTCCTCTTCATAAAGTTAGATTTCTCTTGAGCGACAGCACCAAGGACTCATTCAGGCGACAGACCTTAGTTAGAATGTATCACGTCTTATTTAGCATTGTTGAGAGATATTAACGCCATAGTTCACTGCAATATCTGTAATGCATCATTGATTCCATACCTTTTTAAATTAGTAGATCTCACCCGCTCTCTCTCTCTCCCCCCCCCTCCCCATCCCCTGTCTGTCCATAGCTCAGCAGACTGAGCCCCACCATGTTGAATAAGATTCCTGAGGAGGTGAGGGAGCACGTCAAGATGCTGCTGAGTGTCACGCCCAACGTCCGACCTGACGCTGACCAGATGACCAAGGTCAGATCACCCCAGTGTCACCACATATGACCTTAAGTCACTAATACATCAGGATACACTTTACTTTTCACATATATTAAAGCAGGATCACCAAGTCAGCTAGCTAACTTTGATAAATATTTAGAAATACCTTTAGATTTTCTGATTCATTTAATCAAGCTAAATTTGAATATGGGTTTTTGGTTGAATCAATCCATGCCCGTATCAAGTTATTTCAGAGCATTTAAGCAAGATGAACTCATTGATCCTGCTTTATGACATACCACCCAGTTCAGTTTAATAATCCCTTCTCTCCATCTGGGTGCTTCAGATCCCCTTCTTTGATGACGTGGGGGCAGTGACGCTGGCCTACTTTGATTCCCTCTTCCAGAGGGACAACCTGCAGAAGTCCCAGTTCTACAAAAACCTGCCCAAGGTCTTGCCCAAGCTACCCAAGGTTAGTGTTCACTGTGTGTGTTGCTCTTACAGTGCATTTTAGAGTGGCCTAGCAGTACATTCCTACAGTAGAATGCTTCATGCTCAGTGTACAGGTAGTTTGGAACGCGGTCTTCAATAATCCAGTCAAATTGGGATTTGCCATTTTTTGGTTGTCCACTTTATTCAACCGCAAATATGCGTTCAAAAGTGACCTAATAAAAATCATTCTGATTAAAGCCACTATTCCTAACCCCTTTGCGTCCTGTCTCTTCTTCTCGACCCCAGAGAGTGGTGGTTTACCGTATCCTCCCAGCCCTCACCTCAGAGTTCGTGAACCCAGACATGGTGCCGTTCGTCCTGCCCAACGTCCTGCTGATTGCAGAGGAGTGTACCAAGGACGAGTACGTCAGACTCATCCTGCCGGACCTCAGCCCTGTGTTCAAGCAGCAGGAGCCTATCCAGGTACACACACACACACACACACACACAGTGTATCCCCATACCCAGTTTTTAGGCCTACCTTCTATGTTTGCTTGATGTGTGTTACAGGGATGGCATGGTTAGATAACAGACTAGAGGATGCTGTAAACTTTATCTGGTGACAGGGCTGTATGTATCATACTGTTTCTCTCTGTCTCCTTTCCATGCCTTCAGGCAAGCAATATGGTGAGTGGTCTTTGCTAAGCGTAGTTGCTAAGACATTGCTTGTGCGTCGCGCGCGCGTGCGTGTGACACCCTAATGCTTAAAAAAAGAGCTCACTTTATTCCTAGTTTCAATTCACTGGTAGTTACACATCTCTCTTTGTATCTGTCACTCTCCCATCATTAACCCTGGATGAACCGCGTTTAACCCTCTGTGTCTATCAGATCCTGCTGATCTTCCTGCAAAAGATGGACCTGCTGCTGACCAAGACCCCACCAGAGGACATTAAGAACAGCGTTCTGCCCATGGTCTACAGAGCCCTGGAGGCACCCTCCATCCAGATACAGGTACCACAGACAACCACATCATGATTGTACGACGTGTTTATTCCACCGGCAGAAAGAGAACTGCAATACAGTTGAAATGCAAATGAAATAAGGTTAGGTTTAGGATTGAGGTTAAGGTTAGGTTTAGTTTGAGTATGATTAAGGTAAGGGTACATTAGCATACTGTTGTCCGTTGCCATTCATTTTCTGCCGGTTAAATATACACTGGCTTGATTTAATGCATAATTTGTTGGCCGGGTACTGTGCATTGTAAAAGAGAGAGATCTCTATTTACCTATCCAAATAAGTCAGTGATGTAGTGAAGGAAGTAAAGGGAGGTCAATTGCGGCGTTAACGACTAACCACTGACCCCAAATCCTGAACGTACACTACCGTTCAAAAGTTTGGGGTTCACTTAGAAATGTCCTTGTTTTCAAAAGAAAAGCAATTTTTTTGTCCATTCAAATAACATCAAATTGATCAGAAATACAGTGTAGACATTGTTCATGTTGTAAATGGCTATTGTAGCTGGAAACGGCTGATTTTTTTTAAAATGGAATATCTACATAGGCATACAGAGGCCCGTTATCAGCAACCATCAGTCCTGTGTTCCAATGGCACGTTGTGTTTGCTAATCCAAGTTTATCATTTTAAAAGGCTAAACCCTTTTGCAATTATGTTAGCACAGCTGAAAACTGTTGTGCTGATTAAAGAAGCAATAAAACTGGCCTTCTTGAGACTAGTTGAGTATCTGGAGCATCAGCAATTGTGGGTTCGATTACAGGATCAAAATGGCCCAGAAACAAAGAACTCTTCTGAAACTCGTCAGTCTATTCTTGTTCTGAGAAATGAAGGCTATTCCATGCGAGAAATTGCCAAGAAACTGAAGATCTCGTACAACGCTGTGTACTACTCCCTTCACAGAACAGCGCAAACGGGCTCTAACCAGAATAGAAAGAGGAGTGGGAGGCCCCGGTGCACAACTGAGCAAGAGGACAAATACATGAGTGTCTAGTTTGAGAAACAGACGCCTCACAGGTCCTCAACTGGCAGCTTCATTAAATAGTACCCGCAAAACACCAGTCTCAACATCAACAGTGAAGAGGTGACTCCGGGATGCTGACCATCTAGGCAGAGTTGCAAAGAAAAAGCCATATCTCAGACTGGCCAATAAAAACAAAATATTAAGATGGGCAAAAGAACACAGACACTGGACAGAGGAAGATTGGAAAAAAAGTGTCATGGACAGACAAATCGAAGTTTGAGGTGTTCGGATCACAAGAAGAACATTTGTGAGACGCAGACCAAATTTAAAGATGCTGGAGGAGTGCTTGATGCCATCTGTCAAGCATGGTGGAGGCAATGTGATGGTCTGGTGGTGGTAAAGTGGGAGATTTGTACAGGGTAAAAGGGATCTTGAAGAAGGAAGGCTATCACTCCATTTTGCAACGCCATGCCATACCCTGTGGACGGCGCTTGATTGGAGCCAAATTCTTCCTACAACAGGACAATGACCCAAACTATTTAGGGAAGAAGCAGTCAGCTGGTATTCTGTCTATAATGGAGTGGCCAGCACAGTCACCGGATCTCAACCCTATTGAGCTGTTGTGGGAGCAGCTTGACCGTATGGTACGTAAGAAGTGCCCATCAAGCCAATCCAATTTGTGAGAGGTGCTTCAGGAAGCATGGGTTGAAATCTCTTCAGATTACCTCAACAAATTGACAACTAGAATGACAAAGGTATGCAAGGCTGTAATTGCTGCAAATGGAGGATTTTTTGACAAAAGCAAAGTTTGAAGGACACAATTATTATTTATATTAAAAATCATTATTTCTAACCTTGTCAATGACTACATTTCCTATTCATTTTGCTATATTTCCTATTCAAACTCATTTAATGTATGTTTTCATGGAAAACAAGGACATTTCTATGTGACCCCAAACTTTTGAACGGTAGTGTATAACTAACCATTGAGAAGATAAGAAAAACCTGACCCTAGACCAGCGGTTAGCAGCAAATTCAACCAACTTTGTAAAGCTCACATGGGAACCTCCATAGAGATTCTATAATACGCCTGACCAAGACAGACAATATTTTGGCCGTTGCTATGATCCCAATGTCCATTCGAGAGTTCTAGGCTATATGTGATTCTATGGAAACCGCTGCCATTAAGTCATCACCAATGCTGTGCCCTATATTTGTGTGCCCCCCCCCCCCCCCCCCCAGGAGCTGTGTTTGAACATAATCCCCACGTTCGCCAACCTGATCGAGTATCCCTCCATGAAGAACGCACTCATCCCCCGCATCAAGTCTGCCTGTCTACAGACCACCTCACTTGCAGTCAGTCTCTCGCTCTCATTTGACTCTCTCTGTCTCTCTCTCTCTCTCTCTCTCTCTGTCGCTCTCTCCCTCTGTCTCTCTCTGTTGATCAAATGCACATGGTTGTTTTTGACTGACCATTGATTGCCAGTTAATTGTACAGAAATATTCTGATTGTGTGTATGTTTGACCTGTGTGTGTAGGTGAGGGTCAACTCCCTGGTGTGCCTGGGGAAGATTCTGGAGTACCTGGACAAGTGGTACGTCATTGACGAGATCCTGCCCTTCCTGCAACAGATACCCTCCAGAGAACCAGCCGTACTCATGGGGGTTCTAGGTAACGGAACATCTAGAACGTTTTAGAATCTAGATGATAGTCCTAGGGATAGTTCTAGGCTAACACTTAAAAACATGAACTATCCATTTAACAGTATTGATACATTTTCTGTTGATGTTTGTTGTGGCTCTGATCTATTGTGGAATGGTTGTATGATTGTTTCCACCCATAGGGATCTATAAGTGTACCTTCTCCCATAAGAAACTGGGCATCCCCAAAGAGCACCTAGCTGCCAAGAGTCTGCCTCACCTAGTCTCGCTCAGTATAGACAACAACCTCAACCTCAACCAGGTAGGTAGATAAGCGCACACACACACACACACACACACACACACACACACACACACACACACACACACACACACAAGGTTTTATTCAAACCCTCTCTCTGTGTGTTTCAGTTTAACTCCTTCATGGCTGTGATCAAAGACATGCTGACTCGTATGGAGGCAGAACACAAGACCAAACTGGAGCAGCTACACAGCATGCAGGAACAACAGAGGTATCAATCAAATCACTCTTTCCCTCCTGTCTTCCCCCTCATGTTTTAATGTCAGGTGCACAACTACAGTGAAATGCCTTTCTTGCAGCTCTAACCCCAACAAAGCAGTAATCAATAACAATGTAATACTCAAAATAACAAGGTAGAACAAACACACATGAGATATAAAAATAAGAAAAACACGATAAAGTAAGTAAGCATACTATATACAGGGTTAGTCAGTTCCAGTACCATATTTACAATGTGCAGGTATACTGGTTCAATAGAGGTATAGGGGTAAGGTGACTAGGCATCAGGATATATGATAAACAGAGTAGCAGCAGCGTATATGATGATTGTATGTGAGTGGGTGTGTGTAGAGTCAGTATAAATGTATGTGCATATTATGTGTGTGTGAGTAAATGATGGAGTGTGTGTTGGAGTATCAGTGTGTGTAGTGTGTAAGGCCCTGTGAGTGTGCATTGAGACAGTCCAACCTTTTTGTATTTTATTCTTATTTTTGCACTGTCAATGCACACTCACAGGGCCTTACACACGTTATAATGTTTTAGACTGTTCTGTTCTTTCTGTATTTACTATATCTTCCTACTTCTCCTTTTCTTAGTCAACAATGACTCAGGAAATACTGTGTGATGCAAATTAATGTTCAGAATCTGATTAGAAAGATGAGGGTTGAGTAATGTTTGATTCTGTTTGTGTGAGACAAATTCCCTTGAATGCAATAGTTTGAGCTATTCTGTCTGTCCTCCTCAGGAGTATGAATATCAATACCAGTCAGACGAACCACTCAGAAGAGACGAAGCGCACCCCCAGCCCTGGCAACCAGGTGAGAGGTCATTTCCTTGACAACAATGAGAGAGGCGATTGCCCAGATGAGGCAAAAACGTGTGCATGAAGGCTTGATGTATGTGATTTCATATACTTGTAGGGCCAAATGTATAATAAAATGTATCTTGGCATGGGTTGGTGTTATGGCTTATTGAAACCGTTGTCTTTTTCCAGATTGATGATGTCTTTGGAGGGAGTTCTGGGAGTGCAGGGTTTAATGGGAAAGTGAACGGAAGCTATGCACCAGCTCCCCAACTCAACAGAGTACGTACTCAGCATCTTATTCAGTAGGCACAGACCGGAGCAAACGTATTGCAATGGAAGTCAGTTAACATTCCTATTAAATAAGCTTGGGTGGTGCATGTTCTGTTTGACTCTCTTTTTGTGATTGAATGTTACCAAACCCATCTTATCTATCCTAACCTTGTATAGCTGCTAGTGTATATTTCTGTTCTCTCTCTCCCTGTCCCTCTCTCTCTCTCTCTCTCTCTCTCTCTCTCTCTCTCTCTCTCTCTCTCTCTCCGTCTCTCTCTCTCCCCGTCTCTCTCTCCCCGTCTCTCTCTCCCCGTCTCTCCTCTCCCCGTCTCTCTCTCTCTCCCCGTCTCTCTCTCCACCCGTCTCTCTCTCCTCCCCGTCTCTCTCTCTCTCTCCCCGTCTCTCTCTCTCCTCTCCCCGTCTCTCTCTCTCTCTCCCCGTCTCTCTCTCCCCGTCTCTCTCTCCCCGTCTCTCTCTCTCTCCCCGTCTCTCTCTCTCTCTCCACGTCTCTCTCCTCTCTCTCTCCACGTCTCTCTCTCTCTCTCCACGTCTCTCTCTCTCCACGTCTCTCTCTCTCTCCACGTCTCTCTCTCTCTCCACGTCTCTCTCTACGTCTCTCTCTCTCTCTCCCCGTCTCTCTCTCTCCCTGTCTCTATCTCTCTATCTATAGATGTCTCTGACTCTGGAGGAGAAGCAGCGGTTAGCCAAGGAGCAGGAACAGGCAGCCAAACTAAGAAACCAGCCAGCACTAGCCCCCCAGAGTATCAAACCAGCTACTCCTTCTACCCAGGTAGTAGACACATACATATACATATACATACATACATACATACATACATACATACATACATACATACATACTCGTGTGAAAATGTATAGTTTCTTACTTGGTAGCCATCCATGGTTACACTTTTTTAACTCCTCATATAGAACAGTCACAATTACATCTGCATCATTTATTAGTTTGATGTTTAGATCGATGTAATCTGCTTTAGTTTCCACTTCAAACCTGCCACCTATTTGTCATTGAGATGATAAGCTGATTTGACCTGATGTGTTTGGCAGGCCAAGGACCTGACTAGCAGCCTGCTGAACAATATGACACCCCTGGGCAGCCTGTCCCTCACCTCTCCCCCCAGACCAGGCATCGTCCAGGGCAGCACCATCTCCTCCTCAGCCTACCCCTCCACCACCCCCATGGGCTCTATGGTCAGCAACGGTTACAACCCAACCATGGGCTTCCAGACAGGGGGGATGGGCATGCGGCCCCCCTGGCCCCGGCCTCTACGGAGGGATGGCCACCACCACCAGCACCCCTAACTTTGGTGCCCTGACCCAGAACCAAGGGTGCACCAAGACCCCTGACATGTCTGCCTTGGACTCCTTATTCACTTCCAACAAGCCCAAAGTCGGCCTCAACCAAATGGCTCCTCCCAAGCCCACCCCCGGGACCACCGCCACCCCCTGGCTTAATCAGTTTGGTTCGGCCCAGCCCAGTCAGACTGCCCCGATGCAGGGCGCACCATTAGCCATGGGAGGGGTGGCCAGTGGGTTCGGGATGCAGGCCAACCCTTTCTTCAGCCCGCAGAACTTCTCTCAGCCCACGGCCGCTCCCGGAATGAATGCTGGTGGTGGGCTCAGACATAGTGCGTCCGTCAACAACGACCTGAAAGACCTATTTGGCTGAAAACAACTTTCCCCACTTTTAATGACGACTGATGGAAGGGAAGTTGGACTTTTGAACTGCAAACAAGAAGAAAGAAAAATATACTTTTTGGACCAACTGTGAAAATGATGATGAATCCACTTGATATTTGTTGCTATTTGTATTTTAATCTGCTGTGGTTTGGGTTGCAGTGTGGTTCTTTAAGCTCCCATCGGACTGGACACTGAAGACCCAGCTTTTCGATCTGCACACGGATTCCAAACCTTCTTGACTGGAGAGGGAGGGAAAAGACTCATGTTGTGTGCTGCTCTCAGTAATGCTTGTGGGGGTTTCATATCGTTTCTTACCTGAGACACTGGGGTGAAAGGTTTATTCTAGAATACATATCTTCTCCATAATCCCTATTCTATGTGATGGGATGAGCAGTGGCATAGAGAGCAGTCTTTCTCAATCCATTCCTTTTTAGCCCAGCACTAACACATCTGTTATTCATGCTGCACATCTCAGCAGCCTGCTATATCATATCAATGTGGTTCCTGAGACATTCAACACTTCTCCAGAGTGGACTGCAAAAAAACAGTACCCAAAATGCCACTCTTGATTCGTTGAATCAGTTATTAGTGCCGGTCTAAATCTAAAATGTGTGGGTCCTTTTAGTGGGGTCCTGTTGTCGCTTTGAGGACGACAATCCAAAAGAGCGGTAGAATCGCCGGCTAAACCGCACGGCCGGAAAGGCCAAGTCTCCATGGAAACGATCTCCGCAGTAACACCCCACTCCATTTTGGGATTTTTAGTACCTATGCTTTCTGTTCTCTGCCTCGAATGAGATTATGAATAAGGATTCGACAGTGATGTCATAAATGTCAAGATTCTTAAAGTATAAATTAATCCAAATAAAACTGGATGGAAGTGAAAATCAAATCTAAGTTTATTGGTTGCGTACACAGTTTAGCAGATGTTATAGCGGGTGCAGCGAAATGTTACTAGCGCTTCTGCGGTCTCTACATCTGACCTAAAGAAAGGGTATTTTCCGAGCAGAAATCCAATTCAACGAACAGTTTGAAAAGGGAGGGGTTGATTGTGTTTAGGCAATTCGTCTGGTTAGGGATTGCTGTCCACACAGAATTCTGTGCGTGAATACTGTGAGGGTGACCGTTACATACGGCTATCTTCTTAATTGAATGAAGTAACTCACCTGTATATGTACTGAATGGTTTGCTGTAAGTGAGTGATTGGTCAATATATATACTGGGAATTGTGAATGAATGTGAAGGAGTATACGTAAATGGGTACATAATGAAATGTCAGTGCAATCATAATCCATTTAGTTTGTTTGCCCGGTGTCTGGTAACTTTAACCTTACGTGTCCCTGTCTTGTAATACCCCCTCTTTCCTTCCATCATGTTACTGACCTGACCAATGGGAGACCACAAACGATTTGTTTTATCCACTGACTGCACTGCTAAATCAGTGATTCTGTTGAAATGTAGTGAATTTAGTAATTAATGATTTTATTCCACGCATCAAACCAGGCTGCTTTCAACAAAGCAAGCAGACCATGTATTTTAAGTTAATCGTTGGACATATCAAATGTACTATCAAATGAAGGTATATCAGTCCTTTTTATATATATATATATATGAGTTGAACACTTTTTCATTAAAGGGGACCTGTCCTGCATTGTTGATATATAAAGCTATTTAAAATGGGAGCTTAAAGGGGCCCTTGTATTGTTGTGCTCTTGTGATGATGAATGAGAGGCCTTAGAGGAGAGCTGTGTGCAATAATAATCCATGGGGGTGGAACTAAGTCTGGGGCTGCATCTCAATAGTAAAGAAAGTAGCCTCCTTTCCTCATCCCCTTTGCTTATCTCCTTCCCTTCATCTGCACTGATCTGAAATCCCAGGATAGGTGAAAACCCTATGGGCCAAATGGGACAGGAGAGTGTCATCTCACCTATCCACCTGTTGCAGACTAGTGCAGGTGAAGGAAGGAGACGAGGAAAGGACGCCGTTGTAGACTTTTGAGACCAACCCCCTTGTGTGAATCCTCACTGAATGCTGTTTGCTGACTGGGGGACGTAGGTTTCGTTAGTTAACAGAACACATGCTAACTTATATTCACAGGCCTTTGTCGGATAGTAAAAAAAAAGAAGCTTACTGTCCATGACTAGGTGAGCTGTCACTGAGTTGGCACAATGATAATGTCATTGGCTAGTGTATAACAAAAAAGAGGGGCCTTCTGGGTTCTAAACCTCTTTCTATTGGACACAAGTGATGGAGGTCTGTCCTGTTTGGGCAAAGACCTCTTTGACGCCCATATTTCACGAAAGGTAGCCGCAATGTTCATGCGATTGTAACTATAATGACGGAAGCTTTTTGAGGGCGAGAACTGGATTACATTTCCTGCCATCGTGACTCGTGCGCTTGGACGCGAGGACAAAAAACGAAAGCCTATTCTTCTACAAGAGTTCTGATCCTTTGTATACTACTGCTGTCATATGTGTAGTGTGGCCTCTATGAACTTTGTATTGTGTGGTGTTTTCTGAGGTGGTTCAAAGAAAATCTATACATATATATGAAAATACACAATCTAATATTCTCTATGATGTCTGTGTATTTGAGTCTGAGCCAGAGATTTGAAGAGTAACTTTGACTTCTGGAATAAGATGACCTCAATCAGTAGATACTCAAAAAGCACCTTTATTCGAAATAGAGAATGGCAATGAAAATGTACATGGCAGAACAGGCTCAAAAGGCTTGTTGCTTTTGTACCATTGGCAGTGATAGGGTGGAGTGTTCTTTCCAGTTCACATTTCAAAAAATATTGTCAGAAGCTACTTTTATAATAATAGTATTGGTTTTTAAGTATATGCACAATGTTGAAAAAATTACAGTAATTCCATGAATACATATGTAAACACTTTTTTTTCTTTCAGTATCTCATCTTTAGGAGGAAGTGGAATAGAAGGGGTTCCATCTCAGTACTCTAAAGTGACTTCATCTTCACTGTGCACATGAAGAAATGGAGTTGAGAGGAAGCCACTTTAGACAATTGAGATTCACCCAGGGTACAGTGGAGGCTGGTGGGAGAAGCTATAGGAGGATGGGCTCATTCTAATGGCTGGAATGGAATTATGGAACGGAATCATGTGGTTTCTATATGTTTGAGTTTGATACCATTCCAATGATCCCATTCCAGCCATTACAATAAGCTCGCCCTCCTACAGCTCCTCCCACCAGCCTCCACTGCCAGGGTATTGGACAGAGACAGAGGATTAGGTCAGTTAGGAAAAGAGGAGTGTAAGGTTGAGGTCAGAGGTCACCCACTACGCCCATCATCATAATAGCAGGCTGTGTCTCTACATTCTAAAGTGGTCTCCTCTCCTCTATGTAGTTGTACTGATCCAGAGGGCCTGGACAGCCAAAAACACACCCACCTGTAGTTCTCTGCATTTCTCATTATAAAAGAAAGGAAGCTACTTTAGTGTATTGTGATACAGCCGCAAAGCAGTTCTTGGCTGAGTGGGACAATCTCAGTCGTCATGTCATACAGGGAATCTTCTCCCCTGACAGAGGACAGTGTCGTGGGCAGTGACTAAGTTCAGACGTCGAACAGATCGGGTGGTCTGAGTGGACAGGTTTCTTTGGGTCAGGGCTGCAAAAGACAACAAATCAAACCAACCAACTGTTAGGTCCTGACAATAATGTTCTCCAACACAGGAAACTATATTGGTTTGGAGTTTGGATTCATCAAATCAATTAAACTACTCCTAAATCTTCAATCAACCGCTATCCTTCACCCGCTAGGCACTTGTCAAACTCGTTCCACAGAGGGCCGAGTGTCGGCGGGATTTCGCTCCTCCCTTGTACTTGAATGATGAATTAAGGTCACTGATTAGAAAGGAAGTCCCCTTACCTGGTTGTCTAGGTCTTAATTGAAAGGAAAAAACAGCAGACACTAGGCCCTCCATGGAATGAGTTTGACACCCCTGCCCTAGGCCCATGTGAAGTTCTGAGAAGATGACATATTTACCCGAGAAGTCCAGTTGATAGCTGAAGCTCCTGGTAGTGAAGTTCATAGTTCCATTTGGGTTCTGCTGGTACTGGGCTTCAATGTCCTGGCTGGATACACTGCAGGTGCCGCTTCTCTACAGGATTAAGTCAACACACACACACACACTGCTTGGTCATAAATGTGTTTTTAATGTAGTGGTATGAAGACTACTCTTATGGAGTCTGATGAGAGAGACCAGTAAAACGGTTCATCTTACTTTGGCAAAGTCTTTCCAGCTTCCGTCCACGTCTTGAAATTGCCAACGGGACTGTAAACCCATTCCTCCACTGTGAGAGGAGGACACAGTTTTTCATTATTTGTCACATTGCACAGTTGTTACACATGGGTTCTCTAGCAGGTCAGAAAGGCCTTGACTAATGGCCAGGACTTCTTCCTGACCACATGACCAGACCAGGAAAAACTCTTGGCCCTAACCTATAGGGACAATACTTTTTCCTGGTTAGGTCACATGGTCAGTAAAACTCCTTGCTCTAGGTTCCCAGCCTGTTTTATCCATACCTGCTCATTTGTTGAGCTTCACATTGAGTTCTCCTCACAGTTCTTTTGGTCCCGATGCGAACGTTGGTCTGACACATGCCTGGAAGAGACAGAGAAAACTTCAGGAGTGTTCCTAGACAGGTCACATGTTATGGTACACCAGTATTTAACTCTGTCTTACCTGAGAAGTCGAGGGTGTAGGAATATCTCCCAGCTTTGAAGCGTATCTGTCCCTTGGGGTTCTTCTGGTAGTGTCTCTCAATCCCAGCACTGTCCAGTGAGCAACTCTGGAAATAGCCACAGATTACATGCTGCTATACCATGATTGTCTCCCTCCTCCATTCTCACCTTAATGAGGGCCTGAGTTGAACATATACAATCTGTCTTGTAGTGTGCTATTTGCAAGGGTTCAACGAATAAAATAATGTCCCACTCACTGGAGTCTGGTATTCTGTCCACACCCCCTCCACACCCATGAATTCCCAGGTGTAGCCAGCAGAGGGAGGTGGTGAGGCAATTACAGTGGGGGCTGATGGGGCAATGGATACACTGCAAAGAAATAGACCCACAAATACTGAATTACACTTACATTTACATTTTAGTCATTTAGCAGACACTCTTATCCAGAGCGACTTACAGGAGCAATTAGTGTTAAGTGACTTGCTTCAATGTTGCTGTGACAAGAAAGTAGGTATGAAACTATAGATGATCACATTTGCATATGTCAGGAATGTATGTAAAGTTATCTTGACACTGAGTTGAGGTCGAAGGGGAAACCAATCACACTAGAGAGAAGCTGGATTTTGTTGTTGTTATAAATAATGTATATTTAATGCTATTATTATGTTGTGGCTATATTGTTTTTGGTGTTTGTAATTTTTTCTGTATAGATTTGATGAAGATTTCGATTTAATAACATCTACAAGATTCCTATAGGCCAGTTTGTATACAGAAAGGCTGCGTTCCAGGCTGACTACATCGCAGACGCCTTCCAGATCTCACAACACCTGGATAGGTGTTTAATTAATCAGCTAACCACATCATATAATACAGCTGCCTGACTGCGCAGTCGATGATGCAATACAACGAATGCAATGAAGTTGGCCTGGAGCTCACCCATTCAAATAACTTTGGCAACACTACCATCACACAGGTTAAATTAATGAGGCAAGTGCCTAACGGTGTATATAGATGAGGCATCATAATAACTGCTGTTCATCGTAGGCCCTAGGGGCAGAGGCTAGGGGCCAAAATACCTGCTGTTCACCGTAGGCCCTAGGGGCAGAGGCTAGGGGCCAAAATACCTGCTGTTCACCGTAGGCCCTAGGGGCAGAGGCTAGGGGCCAAAATACCTGCTGTTCACCGTAGGCCCGAGGGGCAGAGGCTAGGGGCCAAAATGGAATAATACCTGGCATTCCCTGAGACGATGGAGTTGAACTTTGGACGCCGCCGGACGTTTCTCTGTACCCGGGTGGCTGAATTGGTCTGTGTCATAGCTGAAGAAGACATACATATGGTAAGAGAAACCATTGTATTGTAAGGGAAAATGCAGTCTGGCAGGACATGCAGAGTATTGTCAATTGCTCTACAAAAAAAAAAGCTTAAAAGTGGCAATCAGCAGTTGAAACAATAACAAATCGTTCTCCACGCCCCTGTTTTGGTAAAAAGGTAAGGGAGGAAGCTGGAGAAATGTGACCAATCTCAAATTCATAGACAGAGCTATGATTGCAAGGACTGACCATCCATGATATCAAAATTATAGTTTTAACCATGTTTTAAGGCTATTAAATGTTTCTTTACATTTCCTTTGTTTACAAACATTGGAGTAAAGCAAGCTTATATTTTGGGTTCTGATGGGGAACAGCAGCTGAACTAAGCTCATGAGGCATTTATAAGATATATTCTTCAAGAGTCAATAGGTACATATCATTAAGTCCAATAATGGAGGTAGCAACTGCAGATGTACCCTTTAAGGGCTCGATTCAATCCATAGCCTTGTAGCACGGTTGACATTTAAAGGTCATTTATGATTGAGCCAAAATATGCAGTGTTTACCGTGAATGTAGTCTCCGCGAATGTGGTAACATTGCCTTTAAATGTAAATCACGCTAAAACGCAGATCTTCCACGCAATGGATTGAATCAAGCCCCAAGTGCCAGATCTCAACCCCGGTGTTCCCTATATATGCTACTGGCTACATGCTCTGTCACATCACACTGTATGTGTTGGGATAAGGGGTAAAACAGTCCATAATTGGGAGGTATTATCTGAACTGCACGTTTTGCTACAGTGTGACCTAATGAATACGGCCCTGTGTGGAGTCTACCTGTGAAGTCTAACGTGTAGCTGGTGCTCCCCACAGTGAACTGGAAGGTCCCCTGAGGTCTGAGGATGTACTGTTGTTCCACATTACCACTACTGACTGAGGACGAGCCCTGACCTGGACCCTGGGGTTAGGAGAGAGATGAGGGAGATTGGGTGGGGGGGAGAGAGGTGACAAGGGGTGGGTGAAAGCAGAAAGAGAGAGTGCGCGAGAGAGAGAGAGAGAGAGAGAGAGAGAGAGAGAGAGAGAGAGAGAGAGAGAGAGAGAGAGAGACAGAGAGAGAGAGAGAGAGAGACAGAGAGAGAGAGAGAGAGAGAGAGAGAGAGAGAGAGAGAGAGAGAGAGAGAGAGAGAATTTGAAATATGCAGGGAGAATTTCATTTTTATTTAATTCCAATTTAAAACTTTGTATTATAGGACCATTTGGGAACTTTCAGATTCACTCACCAAAGAACCGTATTCACGCCATATCCGATTGTCTTTGAAATACCACCCGATGTCTTCACTTTGACCCTGAGGTAGGAACGTGAGTCGCCGTACACCCATGGCAGCATTTTGAGCCTCAATCTGATCAAAATCTATATAGACCTGCCTAGAATACACAGAGCAGAAAGGCTACATACACAATCCACCTGTGTTAGTTCAAAAACACGTCAGACCTTAGGTTACTGAACTATACATACAGTATAACAAATAAATCATCAGATCCTAGGTTAGTCTTAATACTCTTAAAATGCTTCCTCTCCTGTTCACCTCCTTGAACCAACATTATCTATCAAGGAAAGGGGACAAGGAAAGAACACCATTCAAGACTATTGAGATGCAGCCGTATAAAAAAATTGCCACTAAACATCTACAGTACAGACCCCATGTGTGATGGGTAGATGTTCATTCCTTTGGCCCCAGGCTGGCAGTAGTGGGTCTCGATCACATGGTCATTGTCAATACGCAGCCACCGCTGTCCTTCATACAGCTGCCACTGAAAGTGGCTCCCCCTGGCTGTCAAAATGAGGAATAGCAATTGTGCATAATCTGTTGTGTAGAAGGAAGTTGCCCCTATAAAGTTGCCCCCTTTGCACTGATCTAAGGTCAGTTTATGTAGCTTTTGCCCTTTAACTTACCTGAGGCAGACTGGCTAGGTGTGCTCTGCCCAAAGAAGTCCTCTTCCTCCTCCTCCTCATGTTCCTTCAATAAGGATTAGACTGGTAATAAACACGTCTGAAACTATTTCTTATACATAATGATCTACCGGCAGGTCTATGGGTTCTTATTCATTGTTAAATACTTGATTTTTTGCTGTGGCCTATTTATTGCTCAAGTAGTCAGCGGTGACATCAGCATTAGGCATTTGACAAGAAAGTGTATTGTTGGTGTGTTGTTTACAATAGCCTATGCAAGCAATATTGTAGATAATGAGGTGCAACTGAGCAATTTTGACCTGTAATGCTCGTAAACTTACCAGATAACTATTGCCAAACCCACGTAATGACACTGTAATTAACAGATATAAAATGTAATCATTATAACAAACAAACTGAAAAATCATCTACTGTAAAGTAACGAGACGACTTGCTTGCTTTAGTACGAAAGAAAAACTCCCAAAAGCTTAAATGCGAATTAAATCATGTCTAGAAAAACGTTTTTTAAAAGGCAAGTTATTTAAATATAAATACAATAGTAAAATAGTTTTATATAAATAAAACGTCTTACTTTTAGTTGAAAATGTAGAGTGGAAGTTTTATTCGTCTTGACACATCAGTCATGACTTTCTTTTGTATTGTTTTCACTTTCGTTTCTTGGGCAGGACGGGCGCGGCTCTGTTTTGCATAAAACATACCCTTCCAGATTGGAGAAAGATAAACAAAGGGATGATGAAACGCAGACGTAGTAGAACCAAGAACAAACACGCAAACTACCAGAACACAAAAGCATTCAAACATTTCAGATTTTATTCTGCAATTGATCAAAACATTATTTTATCGAAACATACAGTTTTTATCTTTAGTCATTGTGTACAGTAACAATATATCAGTTTAAGCTTTCAATCATATTGAGGTATATAGGACAAGCGTCACCCCATTTTCAGGAACATTTTAAGGCAGTGGATGTTATTCCAACATTCACACCACTGTAGATTGCATTGCATTGATTTTTATGAAACGTAAAATATTTGTCTTGAATTAATCAATTAATTATTGCAAAACGTCTAACTGTGCGTTACAGGATTTGTTTACTCACAGTTCTTCGGAAAATGTATTGCACCAATAAAAAATTCACTCATCTAGGGGTAAAGTACAAGGCAGTCAGTGGGCTGTTTATTTAGAACAGCCATGTTAGAAATTAACACAAGCGAGATGACGAATGATGTATATATACACATCATTGGAGATGACCCTCGATTTAAAGTGCTAATATTTTAAGTGTGTATGCAAATTCCAATAAATGATTAAATTAAAATACTTTTGAAGGCTTATTTAATTATGGCTTTGAATATTCACATATTTTCGAACAACACCTGAGATAAAAGGTATTATTACCTACATTTCAACATCATGCACACAAATGTTATCTAACTAAATGTCCCAGTTACTTGAGCATGGCAGTCTGCTTCAGCATTCATCATATACAGTTTAAGTCGGAAGTTTACATACACCTTAGCCAACATCATTTAAACTCAGTTTTTCACAATTCCTGACATTTAATCGTAGTAAAAATTCCCTGTCTTAGGTCAGTTAGGATCACCACTTTATTTTAAGAATGTGAAATGTCAGAGTAATAGTAGAGAGAATGATTTATTTCAGCTTTTATTTCTTTCTTTGGAAGTATGCTTGGGGTCATTGTCCATTTGGAAGACCCATTTGCAACCAAGCTTTAACTTCCTGACTGATGTATTGAGATGTTGCTTCAATATATCCACATCATTTTCCTTCCTCATGATGCCATCTATTTTGTGAAGTGCACCAGTCCCTCCTGCAGCAAAGCACCCCCACAGCATGATGCTGCCACCCCCATGCTTCACGGTTGGGATGGTGTTCTTCGGCTTGCAAGCCTACCCCTTTTTCCTCCAAACATAACAATGGTCATTATGGCCAAACAGTTCTATTTTCTGTTTCATCAGACCAGAGGACATTTCTCCAAAAAGTACAATCTTTGTCCCCATGTGCTGTTGCAAACCGTAGTCTGGCTTTTTTATGGCGGTTTTGGAGCAGTGGCTTCTTCCTTGCTGAGCAGCCTTTCAGGTTATGTCGATATAGGACTCGTTTTACTGTGGATATAAATACTTTTGTACCTGTTTCCTCCAGCATCTTCACAAGGTCCTTTGCTGTTGTTCTGGGATTGATTTGCAGTTTTCGCACCAAAGTACATTCATCTCTAGGAGACAGAACATGTCTCCTTCCTGAGCGGTATGACGGCTGCGTGGTCCCATGGTGTTTATACTCACATACTATTGTTTGTACAGATGAACGTGGTACCTTCAGGCCTTTGGAAATTGCTCCCAAGGATGAACCAGACTTGTGGAGGTCTACAATTTCTTTTCTGAGGGCTTGGCTGATTTCTTCCGATTTTCCCATGATGTCAAGCAAAGAGGCACTGATTTTGAAGGTAGGCCTTGAAATACATCCACAGGTACACCTCCAATTGGCTCAAATGACGTCAATTAGCTTATCAGAAGCTTCTAAAGCCATTACATATTTTTCTGGAAATTTCCAAGCTGTTTAAAGGCACAGTCAACTTAGTGTATGTAAACTTCTGACCCACTGGAATTGTGATACAGTGAATTATAAGTGAAATAATCTGTCTGTAAACAATTGTTGGAAAAATTACTTGTGTCATGCACAAAGTAGATGTCCTAACCGACTTGCCAAAACTATAGTTTGTTAACAAGAAATGTGGTTGAAAAACGAGTTTTAATGACTCCAACCCTAGTGTATGTAAACTTCTGACCTCCACTGTATATCTGTTAACTATAAGTCTTTGGATAAAACCATCCGCTAAATTACCATATTGCATGATATCATATTGTTCACACTTTTTTTCCCGCATACTATTTAGTACGGTAGTATGGGTATTCAGACATGGCCAGGGTCTTTCTCCCCTTTTTTTTAAACATCTAAATGTTTAATTTGAGCTCCAGATTGTATCTACTAAAATAGTAGCTTGATATATTGACAGGCTTAGTTCTGGCCTTCTGACACTGGGCTGAGGTAGATGGAGTGTGCCCCTGACGGTTTCCTGCTGCATCACTGTCTGATTCCTCTTCTGTAGCACTACTCTCAGAGTTACTCTCAGAGCAGCTGAAGTCCTCCTGGTAGCTATTCCCTTGACTAGGGTCTGGACAGGGAAAATAGAATAGAATAGAATAGAACAATAGGAAATAGAAGAGAAGCTGTAATTACAGTGTGATATTGGACCAGTGTGATATCAAATTGTGTTTTGTAAACTGTAAAAAAAATCCTGTAATTGTCACGGTAAATAACTGTATAATCAATAGTAACACACTGTATAAGCTGAATACAGTAGGCTACCGTAAATTACATTGCATTGTAGGGAAAAATTAAATGACTGGGAAATATTTTAAGTATTTTGTACCGTAAAAAATGCTACGTAAAACATTTCACATCATGCTTTACTGCAGGTAGATTTTTAATATCTGTGTTTTTGCATGTACATTGATTGATTCATTTTACACTACACAAAGATGAATAACATACATGTTTCTAAACTAATCCAATTCGTTAATTAGATTTTTTGCACCCGTTACTGAAATGGTCATTTCAGATTAAATGTCTTAGGTAGTCACCTCATGTTCCTAACCCTGACAATCATTTTGAATGCAGGTTGTGGGTGAATAAATTCCAACTGTTGGATATCCTTACTCTGGCTGGATTCCAGTAGGAATTACACATCACTTTTTAAATCAGCATAATGTGACATGCAGGTAGGGTTGCAAAATTCTGGTAACGTTTCCAAAATTCCCTAGGTTTTCCAGAAATCCTGGTTGGAAGATTCCTGGAAACGGGAGGGAATAAGCAAGAAATTCGGATTCGTTCAACCAGGATTTCTGGAAAATATGGGAATTTTTGGAATGTTACAAGAATTTTGCAACCCTACCTACAAGTAACATTATAATAATTTTGCCACCCTACTTGCAGACCTGATGTGGCCTGTAAACCATACATTTCAGGCCTGTGGGGGCAGTTCACAGGGCAAGTCATAAAGGACATGTGCAGAATGTTGAACATTGAGCAGAAGTTCCATGTTGCATACCGGCCTCAGGTGGCGGGATTTATCGAACGCACAGATGTTCTTAAGGAATCATTGTCCAGACAGATTGCACAGCATAAAGGTCAGTGGATAGCTCTTCCCACAAGTGTTGACGGTGATGAGGGCCACACCCTCCAGGGCCACAGGACAGGAATCAGCCTGTACGAGTTGATGACAGGAAGAACCATGAAACTTCCCATTGACCCAGATGTGAACACAGCTGAGCTGGGGCCTATGATGTTTGCAAAGCAGCAGACTGTGTTGACTCACTTACAGGACAGGCTCAAGGTCCAGTATGCACAGGCATCTCTGAGGCAACAGCAGTCAGACAGAGCAAACAATGCACTGTTCAATCTTGTGGTTGAAACCAAGTTCACAGAGGGGGACATGGTAATGGTGAGAGTGAGAGTGACAGTGAGAGTGAGTGAAAGAGAACGCTTTTGCCCCAAGATGGCATGGTCCTTACGAGGTCAAGGCTGCATGTAACAGCTGCCTGGCTGTTAAGGCCCAGCAAAGGTTTAAATGGTTTCACATGACACAATGTAAACCATACCGGGGTCAAATGCGATGAAGCAATGTTTTGACTTGTATGATCTTTGTTTTTTCTATTTCTGTCTTAACAGAAGGGTGGTAGCTGTTCCCTGGACCCCAGAGGCCAGGACAGTGACGTGACCAACCTGCATCGAATTAGGACAGCGAGTAGAGCTTAACCATGCTCTGGGGTGCCAGAGATGGGTATGGAAGTATAGTGGGCCATACACGAACAACCAGATTCCACTTTATCCTAAACAGATAGATACATGGCCCCCTGGGGTTACCTCAGGACCAGATTGTGCCATGCAGATCTGCTGTAACATAGGATCCAGCCATCTTCCCGACCGCATAGACAAGAGCTTTCCCATTCACAAAGGTATCAAGATTAATCCTGACATTTGTTTCCAATACAACAGAACAATCTGGTTCCAGTTATTGGATACATCAAATACACCCATAGACATACTGAACACATTTTATTCTGTTTATAACAATGGCAGAGATCCCAAAAAGTGTTACAACACGACAGATCTGCTTCCTGACATCTATAGGTGCAAGCATGTTGCACCTCATAACAGGACGCATCATAACATTATTACTGCATTGTTTAATCTAACTTTTCCTATAGGTGACTTCTACAGACCCAGATCTTTCATCTGGACAGAACGAAGGGAGGGTATGTACTGTGTTGGTTCGTGTGCTGCTAATTTCACAGCCTGGACAAATGCAAGAATTGTTCATGGTCAACTAAGTATTGTTTTAACCTTACTACATGCACCTATCACAAACCAACACTGTTCAAAACCATATCCAGTCTCTAAACGTGGTCTTGTTAAAGGAAACATTAACAAGATCCTCTTGCATGATGTTAATCCAGTTATGGTCCATGTGTCCTACAACATATCTGATGTTCTGTCAGCATTCCAGGCTCGTTGTAGCAGTAATGATAGAACATGCTAATGGTAGCAGACACCTACTGAGGATTTAATTTCAGATTACAAGGGCAGACTTG